TGGATCCGAATGGATTCCTGACGGCTCTTGGGGAGTTTCCCGCCACCTCGGTAGGTGATCATGTCGAGGCCTTGGTCGCTCTCTGGAATGGGGAGATGACTAGGGCTATTGACATGATCGCTCCGGAACGTCCCCTCTCAAGTAGCCGAGCTAAACCAGCTCCTTGGTTTACCGAGGAGCTGGCAGCGTTGAAGCGAAAGAAGAGGGACTAGAGAGCGTGTGGCGTTCGGATCCGAGCGAGCCAAACCGAACACGGTTTGTGTCCTTTTTAAGGGCATATGCCGCGGCAATAAAAGCCGCAAAGAAAACTTTCTTTGCGGCCACTATTGCGTCTGCAAAAAACCGTCCGGCGGAGTTGTTCCGGGTTGTCAGAGGTCTTTTAACTCCCCCTAGTTCAGGTGGGAGCCCTGACAATTCGGCAGCGCGCTGTGAAGCATTTGCTCGGTTCTTTGCAGACAAAGTCGCTTTGATCCGCGCTGGGCTGGACGCCGCATTAGATGCAGTCTCTGTGAATGTGACACAAGCACCTGCTTGTCCGATTTTGTTGGATTCCTTTCAGTTTGTGAAACCCGAGGATGTGGACAAGATACTTGGAGGAATGAGACCCACCACGTCCATCCTAGACCCCTGCCCATCCTGGCTTCTGAAGGAGGCCAGAGGGGGATTGGCCGAGTGGGTAACGGTGGTGGTTAATGCCTCCCTTCGGGAAGGCAAGATTCCAGCGAGCCTAAAACAGGCTATTATAAAGCCGCTGTTGAAGAAGCCATCACTGGACCCCACTAAATTGGACAACTTTCGGCCTGTTTCCAATCTCCCCTTTTTGGGCAAAGTCATGGAAAGCGTGGTGGCCTCACAACTCCAGGTATTCTTGAGAGACACGGATATTCTGGATCCGGCACAGTCTGGTTTCAGACCGGGGCATGGTACTGAGACGGTCTTGGTCGCCTTAGTGGATGATCTGCGCCGGGAGCTAGACAGGGGGAGTGTGTCCCTGTTGGTGCTCCTGGACCTCTCAGCGGCCTTCGATACCGTCGACCACGGTATCCTTCTGGGGCGCCTTGCGGAAATGGGTCTTGGGGGCACTGCCCTGCAGTGGCTCCGGTCATTTCTGGAGGGTCGTACTCAGAAGGTGTTGCTGGGGGACTCCTGTTCAACGCCACAGCCGTTGACCTGTGGCGTTCCTCAGGGTTCCATCTTGTCCCCCTTGCTGTTTAACATCTACATGAAGCCGCTGGGTGAGATCATCCGGAGTTTCGGGGTGCGGTGTCACCTGTACGCAGATGACGTCCAACTCTGTCACTCCTTCCCACCTGCTACTAAGGAGGCTGTCGAAGTCCTGAACCGGTGCCTGGCCGCTGTAATGGTCTGGATGAGGGCAAACAAACTGAAACTAAATCCAGACAAGACAGAGGTACTCCTGGTCAGTCGCAAGGCCGAACAGGGTATAGGGTTACAGCCTGTGCTGGACGGGGTCGCACTCCCCTTGAAGGCGCAGGTTCGCAGCTTGGGTGTGACCCTGGACTCATCGCTGAGCCTGGATCCCCAGGTTTCAGCGGTGACCAGGGGAGCATTTGCACAGCTTCGGCTCGTGCGCCAGCTGCGCCCGTATCTTGGGAAGTCTGACTTGGCCACGGTGGTACACGCTTTGGTCACATCCCGCCTCGACTACTGCAACGCTCTCTACGTGGGGCTGCCCTTGAAGATGGCCCGGAAGCTTCAGCTAGTCCAGCGCGCGGCAGCCATGTTGTTAACAGGAGCAGGACGCAGGGAGCATACAACGCCCCTGCTGTCCCAGCTCCACTGGCTGCCGATCCGCTACCGGGCCCAATTTAAGGTGCTGGTGTTATCCTACAAAGCCCTAAACGGTTCCGGCCCAAAATACCTTGCAGACCGCATCTCGGCCTATCAGCCCACGAGGGCCTTGAGATCATCCGGGGAGGCCCTTCTCTCGGTCCCGCCTGCCTCACAGGCACGTCTGGCGGGGACGAGAGAGAGGGCCTTCTCGGTGGTGGCCCCCCGGCTGTGGAACACCCTCCCTGTTGAGTTAGACAGGCGCCCTCCTTGTTGGCCTTTCGCAGGAGCCTGAAAACGGGCTCAGGAACAAACCCAACGCGGTCGCCACGTATCACGAAACAAGCCTAGGCCACAGACCGAACATATGCGAGACCACCCGCAGATTGTGCAGGCCAGCCTGGCAAGCCGGACAACAGCCCGGACAGGGGCCACGAACATGAACTGCCCATTCAACAGAGACTGCAATGGGGGGGGGAGCCTCGTAACCTCTACCATACCAGCCCTACAAAAAGCACAGGCCCCCCGGCTATGGAACACCCTCCCTGTTGAAGTTAGACAGGCGCCCTCCTTGATGGCCTTTCGTAGGGGCCTGAAAACATGGCTCTTCGAGCAGGCCCTCAACTGAGTGTATCTTGAAATGACACTGGACTGAACTAGGACTATGAATTTTGGCTATGACCCCAGGACTTGACGAAGCGGATTTTTAGTATAAGTATATGTTATGTTGTATTGTCTGGTTTGTACTGTCGTGATTTATTGTACACTGTCTTTTCTGTTGCTGTTCACCGCCCCGAGTCGCCCTCGGGCTGAGAGGGGCGGTCAATAAATGCAAGAAATAAATAAATAAATAAATAAATAAATAAATAAATAAATTTAATAGGACATCTAGTGAGGATTTTTTTCTTTTTTCTTTAAAAAAGATCTTAAGGTGAGATCAACATAAAAATTTAAAAGCCCCAAACATTGCATTATTATTAAAAGAACAATATTAATCATTACTAACACCTAAACAAATACCTGCTAAAGGGGGAAGAGGAGGGCACAATCCCACCAACATCTTACTGTCATGCAAAAGGCCTTTTCATTGGCAACCCCTAGACCAGTGGAGGCAAACCTATGGCCAGAGGCAGCCCTAGGTAATTTTCAACGGTAAGCAAACAGTATTTTGGCGCCCCCCCCCCCCAATCACTGATACATATTTTCTGTTCGTCGTGGAAGTTCTGTGTGCCATATTTGGTTCAATTCCATCATTGGTGGAGTTCAGAATGCTCTTTGATTGTAGGTGAACTATACATCCCAGTAACTACAATTCGCATATGTCAAGGCCTATTTTCCCCCAAGAGCGCCTCAAGAGAGCCCCTGGGCAAAATCAACTATACTGCAAATGCTTACTTTGCATAATGGGTTGAGGCGCTCCTGCCTATGACACATGTGTCAGAAGGGGTATATGCAGTGCCCTGTCCCCTGGTATGCACTCCATTGCTTGCCCCCTACCCACCACCTGCTTTCCCATTCTCAGTGCTTGCAGCCAATTCCTTGTCTGGAAGCAACACCTTTGTCTTTTGAGTCTCACACCTTTGTCTTGCATGGAACTGGACGGTTAAGTTTACTCAGAAACTCATCAGCATATCTAACCCATTGTTTCCTTATGGACTGTGCTCTCCCGGGGGCATATCTGCAGGAATTTTAGGCTGACATTCTTCCTGCCACAGGAATCCCACTTGTAGGCTGTTGAAAACCCCCAGCTCATACTGGCACAGATCCTAGCCGGCCTCCTTTCCAGCGGGAACTCTGAATAGCTGTCAGAACTGTGTAAGATGTTTTGCATTTCTCTGTATATTTATGCTTGCACCTTTGGAAGCAAATTGCTTGTACTTGCATCCTTTTTGGCCAAATTGTATTAAAACACTGTGGCTTTTCTTCAACCTAGTGAGTTTGTTTCTCTTTCCTGGCTGATCTGGTTTCACGTACAATCACCAGGCATGGACCCCTTAATTGCAGTACTAGTTGAAATTACTACACCTTTAAATAAAAAGGTATTTACTTACCAACTGAACTTCTCAGGGAAAGAAGTTCCACTACTTGGGGGCAGCCACCAAAAGTATTTCTCTCATGCCCTCACCAAATGTGCCCAGGATGATCGTAAAACTGAATGAAAGACAATCCCTGCAGCTCATACAGCAGGGAGGCTGAATAAATTTATTGGGGGGGGGGTTTCAACAATAAGATCTCTATCCAAGTAGGACAGAGTCATCTTGACAGCATTAAGAATATAGATAAACTGCCAACTCCATCATCTGTCATTACACCAGTAGTTAAAGTTGGTCATGATGACTACATGTGCCAAGTTTGGTCCAGATCCATTGTTGGGGTTCATAGTGCTCTCTGGGTGGATGCGAACTACAATTCCCAGCATTGTGGGACAATTTCCCACAAACCCTGCCAGTATTCAAAGCTGGTCATGTTGGATATGGATGGTTCTTCTTTTTCAAAAGACATTAAAAGCTAAATGTATTCATTTTGCAAACTTACTATCACATTTTTGGACAACAAACACATTTGAGGCAATAAAAACAAACTGGAAGAATACTTAATTGTATGTTAAAGTTTATTATAGCCACTTGTTTTTCAGAGAAGAGGAGTGGTATGCTTAGAGATACAAAAATACAGCTATCACAAACTACTGGAAGCAGTTTCAAAGTTAAAAGGCAACTTAAAGAAGAAACTTGGCATTATCATAGTTGAGGATACATGTCCATTACTATTTTGCCAGAAGTGAAATGTGAGATAATTGTATTGTGGGTGGAGAGGAAGAAACAGTGAGCAATTTGCAAAATGTAAATGTTTATCATTGAAGCGTTCAAAATACTTCATAACATGGAATAATCAATAACCTCTCCTTCACTGAAGAGCTTTAAACAGAGATTAGAAGACCATCTCCCAGAGATGGTTTATTGGTGGATTCCTTCTCTGCAGTGGGTTAAAATAGACGGTCATTATTCAATGAAGGAATAAAGACAATAACATAGATGCAGGGATAGATTATTTTCTGTGCATCTCTTTGGAAATAACTTTGGAATTTTGAAAATACTTCTTTGGGGGTTTGCAGAGTATTTTCAAATGTCAACCAAGAATTTTTTTTAGTATTGCTTCTCATTTGTACTTCTGTCCTGTCTAATGAGAACAGTTGTTCTTATCATGTGGATCTACATCCCTTCTGTCTTGCATTTACAGGTGGCTTCACACTGTTCTGCAAATTCTGGCACATCACATGAGAACAAGTCAATAAGAGCTTCACAGTCTCCTTTCTTATCCACATATAGGCATGGGTTGGCTGGAAAAAAAATAAACCAAAACACAGTTAATAACAGGAGGAAACTTAAAAATAGTCTCTCTTCACACAGTGTATTATTTTAATCTTGCAACAGTCCAGCATTTTTCACTCTTGCTAATTCAAAAATATTTGCTGTGAACCTCGTTCAGAGCATTCCTTTCAAAGGATAGGGATCTTGCCAGTTCATAAAACTGTAAAGTTGAAAAAAAAACCACAAGGGCCATCTAGTCCATTCCCCTGCAACCCAGGAACAATCAGAGCATCCCTGACAGATGACCATCCAGTCTCTGTTTAAATTCTTCCATAGAAGAAGGCTCTACCATGCTCCAAGGCAAAGTATTTCACTGCTGAACTGCTCTAACTCCCAGGAAATTCTTAATACTATTTAGGTGCAAACTAATGCTTTGGTAAGTCATCTGATTTATTTCTAAAACATTCAGAGCTAAAGTCCATTTATTAATAGCAGTAGATCATGAGACTTCTCTTATACCAACTCTGCCTCTGCTCCACAAGGTTTTTTTTTTGTTCCTGCATTAATTCAAAGTGTTTTTTAACAACTTGTCAGGTAATTTCCCTAACTATTCAGATATACTCAAGAGGCCTTTATTTATTTATTTATTTCATGTGAGGAGTGACTTGAGAAACTGCAAGTCGCTTCTGGAGTGAGAGAATTGGCCATCTGAAAGGACATTGTCCAGTGGACGCCTGGATGTTTTTGATGTTTTACCATCCTTGTGGGAGGCTTCTCTCATGTCCCCGCATGGGGAGCTGGAGCTGACAGAGGGAGCTCAACCCGTTCTCCCCAGATTTGAACCTCTGACCTGTCAGTAATCAGTTCTGCCAGCACAAGGGTTTAATCTATTGTGCCACCTGGGGCTCCTTTTGATTTACATGGAACTCAAGAGCAATAATTGTGATAATTGGTCATATACAGGCAGTCCCCAAGTTACAAATATCCAACTTATAAGTGACTTATAGCTAAGAACGGGGGTGAGACAACAGGAGGTGAGAGAAATCTACCTCCAGGCTTCTCACTCTCACTTGCATACACATTCCTCACCTCTCCCCTTCCCCCACTTTGGAAGCCATCTCCAGGCTTTAAAAGGACATGTAGAAGAAATGGAAAAAGGGAGAAATCACCAAACAAGAATTCAAATGAATATCCACTACACCATGCGCAGAGAAAAAGTTAGAAAAGCTAATGCATAAAATAAGCCCAGGTTTGCTATAGAGATTTAGGCCTCATCTACACAAACTATTTAATGCAGTTTTAAACCAGTATTGAAGGAAGTGGTTTTACTGTGTGGATGCTTACATAGCAAATTCGGAACCAGATGGTGATTACACTAACGACAGATGAACATTGAGGGTGTTTTTGTGCACTTTTGAGGGAATTTGTTGTCTGGCCACCACAGTTTGAAGATGGCTTTGAACTACATTAAATGGGTCTAAAAACAATAAAAGAGGCTTTTGTGGTCATATCTATAGCAATCGGAGGAGCAAAGAAATTGTAAGACCACTGCATGGAATACATGGTAAAATGTTAACAGGAGGCAGAAAAAATGCTCAACACCTTTCTTACTTGGTGTTCTCCCCCCCCCCCCCCAAAAAAAAAAAGGTCTTCAACACATGAGAAATGGGAATGAGGGAAACAATGCAGTATATAATAGGTAAAATAGAGAATTCCACAGATATATAAACCTTACTTTATCCAACAGACCTCGCAACCTCTGAGGATGCCTGCCATATATGTGGGCAAAATGTCAGGAGAGATTGTTTCTGGAACATGGCCATACAGCCCAGAAAACTCACAGCAACCCAGTGGTTCCGATCATGAAAGCCTTCGACAACACAATACTCAGATATTTTTGCCAGGTGCTTCCTCTTAAATATAACCTAAAATACGTGGACGTTCTAGGTATTGCATCCAAGCACTAACCAGTGCTGATCCTGATTAGCTTTCAAGGCCAGTGAAGATGCCTTTAGGATATTTTTGCCATGTTATCAGAACTTACTGCAAAGTTTATCCTCGCAGTCACTAGGACAGTCTCCACACGGTGGGCCTTCTATGTATGGCATGTCAATTTGTTTTACCAAATTCCCCCTGAAATCACAAAGGAACATAAAAAAGAATAATAACAGACAGAATAGAATGATAGCATGTTGGTGGAGCTTCAGATTGACACATTATGCTAGTCAATGCAGTGGAACAATGGACTATACCATTTTAAGAGTTCAGATGGTAAAATGCATGTAGAAAATGAAATTTAAGGCTCCTTCTACACCACCAGATTATCTGATTTGAATTGCATTATATGATAGTGTAGACTCATATAATCCAGTTCAAAGAAGATAATATGGATCATTTGCTTTAATAATCTATATTATATGACAGTGTAGAAGGTTAGTGAGCACTTTGATGTCTTAGTTTACCACACATCGTATAAAAAAGTATTTTATAAGACAGTTGTGCAAATATATCTAAAGACTGAGACATGCACATTTTATGTCATCAACATTCATCTAAAACCTTTTCCCTGTATTGTGATTTCCTTTCCATTACAACTAGGGAATACTGCTAAGTTTCTTGTAAAATGAATAGTCATAAAAAGGACAGATGAAAGTAGATGGAAAGAACTTCACATGAACAGGTCATTTGGGAATCTCTTAAAGGCTTGGCTTTTAATCTGTATTAATTAGGGTTACTGATGCAAACCCCTTTTTCCTGGCATGGAGCTGTCAGACCCGGTAAAAGCTCCTGCGTCATCGTGACAAATTCGTTTGTAGCGGATTTTAGAAATCCACATGATGGACAGGGGACATCCACCCAGAAGTTTACTTTTGCTTTTTTTAAATTGACTCTCTGAGATGTGCTGAACCTTATAAACACTGATGCAGATATCTGAATGTGCACACAGGCAGATTTCTTGACATTATCTCTCCTAACCTTCCTGTTGCCTTTACTTTTTCCCTCTTGAACCCCATTTCCCTTTGGGGTCACTTGCCTGCAATGCTGGTGCCTATTGTAAATTCAAGCTCTGTTTAATTTCATAACCATCAGAACAAAGGAACGCTTGCAGAGAGTTCTCATAGGAATTGCTTTCCAATGGTGCTTCCATTTAGCCACCTGTATGTCTGTGGCTCTATTTCTTTACATCTCTCATCAGCTGTTCTGGGATTTAAAAATGTGCACATGTGTTGGAGCAGTAAACACCAGTACATAGGAATGAAGTCACATGTTTTCCTTGAGTGAAGTAAATATGCACACTGTTTGGCCAAAATTAAATGCATATTTTTAACACATGATTTTCAGATGTTAATGGGATCCAGCATGCATTTTGGGCTAACATAATTTAGCCACCCACCCCCTTTATCCTAGTTTCTTCCACATGTTAGCACCCATAAAAGAATGTAGACATCTCTTTGTAGACATGCCTTTTCTCTCCTTTTGCTCCTCCCCTAATCCTAGATACAGGCCCGGGATTTTCATTTCTATACTCCTTGGAATAGTCCTTCCTTAGTAGGTAATGAAGTCAAATGGATTTCTGAGAGTTCTAGGAGTGTTTCTGCTTGTTTCTGTCAAACTCATTTTCATCAAGGGTCATATCAGCTTTATGGTTGCCATCAAACAGCCATTGAATCCATGGATAAAGAATCCATGGAAACAGGTGGCCAAGTAGAATGTTTTTACATAGTAGTCAATGAGCTTTAGTTTTTACCCAGTTTGGGTCACTCTATGTTAATGGATGACAACTCTCATCACATTTGATTATTCACCAAGTGGACAGGGAATAATGGAAATTGCAATCCAACAGCCCTTGTGGCTCCGAGGATGGGAAAGATTAAAGGACATTTTAAAACAGTGGTTCTCAACCTGTGGGTCCCCAGATGTTTTGGCTTTCAACCCCCAGAAATCCTAACAGCTGGTAAACTGGCAGGGATTTCTGGGAGTAGTAGGCCAAGACACCTGGGGACCCACAGGTTGAGAACCACTGTTTTAAAGTCAGATGTCATATCCATAAGCCTTGTAATTAAATTCAAACTCGACTGTCCTGACTAAACATAAGAAACTGCAACTTCCCAGATGTTGCTGCATCATAAATCCCATCTGATCTAGTTATGAAGTATAATGATGAGGAATACAGAAATTGTAGTCCAGCATCTGGAGGGACACATAACATGACATGGTGGGCTGGATTTGGCCTGCGGGTCCTGAGTTTGACACATAAGTTCTAGCGGATGGCAGATCAAGGATAATTCCTTTAATCTGTTAATCTGATGAACATTTCAGCAGATTTTGATATTTTCTACAAGAAAGTTTGACAAAGAAGGCCTTTGACATGAGGAATAAAGAATATTTTGTTAAGGCAGTTACTTACACAGGGCAGTACTGGCAGACATAGAGGAACGTGGCAGGGTTATTTGAGTCACAGTAGGCAAGTCCGCATCCAATCTGATGTGTATTATGCCAAATGAGCTGTCAACAAAAGAATAAAAGCATTTTTAAAATTAGCTAAAAGTTCAAACTCTTCTAATTACTAAATGCATGCTTTAAATTTAAACAAATTCTGAATCTAGAATCATAGAATCTTAGAGTTGTAAGTGACCAAGGGGGCTATCCAGTCTAAACCCTTGCATGCAGGAAAATACAATCCTCTAACTGCATGATTTATTCAAATTTTGCCATTTAGAATATTTTTTTTCCTTTAGGGAGAAGATTGAGATAAGAGAGCATTAAATAGATCAGCCTTCTCTTTCTCCCCTATTAGCATTTCACCATATTTTATATGTAATGGACGCTCTCTACGTGGGGTTGCCTCTGAAGACTGCCCGGAAGCTGCAGCTAGTCCAACGCTCGGCAGCCAGACTACTAACGGGTGTTGGGTACAGGGAGCACACCACTCCGCTGTTACACCAGCTCCACTGGCTGCCAATTAGCTTCCAAGCACAATTCAAAGTGCTGGTGTTAACCTATAAAGCCCTAAATGACTCCGGCCCTGTTTACCTCTCCTAAAGTATTCTCCCCTATGAACCATCAAGATTATTAAGATCGTCTGGAGAGGCCCTGCTCTCGGTCCCACCCGCAAGCGCGTCTGGTGGGGATGAGGGACAGGGCCTTCTCGGTGGTGGCCCCTCGACTCTGGAACTCTCTCCCACTAGAGATCAGAACCGCCCCTTCTATCCTGACATTTAGGAAACAGGTGAAGACTTGGTTATGGAGACAGGCATTCGACGAGTGAGCCAACACCCGGAGATATGGATGGAGGATGATGAGCAACGACTTTAGTGTGACGACTGACCATTGTAGTTATTGATTGTAATTGCTGTTTTAATGTTTTACTGTAATATGAATTATGATGTTTTATTGATTGTATGTGATATTATGGTTGGAAACAGGCCTGAGTCCCTCAAGAGAGGTGAGAAGGTCGGTATACAATTTTTTAAAATAAATAAATTAATTAATATCATTTTCTAGTTCTTCTACTTGATATTAAACATAACTGAGAAACATGAGTATACACTAATTGTTATTTTTTATCTCATTCTGAGCCTTCATGTTTCTGGCTTTCTCTGTACAAGTACTGGTTACTCAGTTGTATTCCTCTGGTGATGATTTCTTCTAGTATTCATTTAAGCCTCAACTCATTCTCAATTGTGATTTATATGGATTAGAAAACCCAAGGTTTACATAAATGGCACTAAATGAGCAAGACCCTATAGTAATTTTTTTTTAAAAAAAAAAATGTTGTTTTCTTCCCTAAATATTGTTTTATAGACTTCTAGTCTTTCGGTTCATACCTGAGTATAACTATATATATCTTTCTTAGGGTCAATTGCTCCAAGACCATACTGGAAGTTGGATACTTTATTTTCCCATACTTGGATTACATCTGACCAAGGGTAGGAAGATGTTGATTGCAATACATTCTCACCACAGACAGTACCTGCAATTATAAGAAAAATAGTTGTATCTGAGATTGCATATTCGAAACAATGAAGGGCCCCATTTACAGATCCACAAAATCTGGGGCACATCCAAATCATTGCTGCATTGTTTACACATTTCTGCTCCTGAACCATAATAGCAGTGGGAGTGGAGTCCTAACTATCCAGTGGGGTTGAGCCACATTTGGCCCCATTGGATGGTCACCCTTACCCTTGTTGCTGTTTGTTGCTACAGTGGTGGCTTGGAATTCAAGTGAGGACCTGACTCTTGTTGGGCATGCTGATGAGAGCAATGATACCCATGCAATACCCCTCCTCTCTCCAAGCTGTATAGCTGTCTTTGCTGACATTGACAGAGGTGCCCACTGGAGCTCTATGACCACCACTGTGGGAATGGTAAGTGCCATCTTATTATTCCCATGCTGTGCAGCACAAACAGCAACAACAATAACAATGACACCAAGACACAGGATGGCAGGATTGGCCCTTGTGAACAGTGGGACTTGTTCCAAATCATAACGGAATCAGCTGTGCACACATGCCAAATTTTCTGGGTTTCTACAGAGCTTTCCACAACATTTGCTAATTTATTTATTTATTTCATATATTTATATCCTGCCCTTCTCCCCACAAGGGGGACTCAGCGCAGCCTCGCATGAGCATCAGAGGATGCTAACAACATAAATACCATAAAAATTACAATTTACAATAAAATCATTTTAAAACATTATACAACATCATCAGTAAAATTTAACAATAAATTAATAGTTTAACATGCCAGTAAAACCAAGCCGAGCCGGGAGAATACATGTCGCAAAATCCAAATTTCCTTTTCCTATTGCCGCTGGCCTCTAATCGAGCGCCTGGCCCCAGAGCCAGGCCTTCAGTTGTCTTCTAAAGGACAGGAGGCAGGTGGCCAACCTGATATCCTTAGGGAGAGAGTTCCACAGACGGGGGGCCACTGCCAAAAAGGCCCTGTCTCTTTGCGAGAGTGGTGGGATCGAGAGTAGGGCCTCTCCTGATGATCTTAAGCTTCATGATGGTTCATAGCAGGAGATAGGTTCGGACAGGTAATCTGGGCCAGAACCGTTCAGGACTTTAAAGATTAAAACCAGCACTTTGAATTGTGTCCGGAAGCTAATCGGCAGCCAGTGGAGCTGGTGCAACAGAGGAGAGGTACACTCCCTGTACGCAGCTCCAGTTAACAACCTGGCCACCACCCGCTGGACTAATTGGAGCTTCCGAGAAGTTTTCAAAGGCAGCCCCACATAGAGAGTGTTGCAGTAGTCTATTTGGGATATAACCAGAGCGTGGACCACCGTGGCCAAGTCAGACATCCCAAGGAGCGGGCACAGCTGGCGCACAAGCTTTAATTGTGCAAAAGCTCTCCCGGCCACTTGCCCTAAGGGACCAGAAGACCTTAGACATCATCTGGATGCTCAAAGGTGACTTCTGGCCCACTTCGGGATATGTGGCAGGTGTAGACACTGACAGGCTCTTAGTGAAAGTTCTTAAAGATTGTCCATTTAAATAACCCAATAATCTTTACCAAAATCGATATTTCATCCATAGGCAAACTCTAAACATTAGCTCAACCGGTTTAAAGGATTCTCTTAACATTTGATTAAGTATTGCAAAGTTTGTAACCTTAATCAAAATTGGTGGAAAATGTAGAGTGAGAAGTCTCAAAGTTTTCTAAAGTGTATATTTGGACAATGAATGGGCAAAATCACAGGAGGCTGGTTATTAGATGCGATGCTTTCTCAAGCGGCATTTTGTTTTAATAAAAAATAAAATGGTGAAAAGGGCAGGTGGAGTTGAGCTACTTGTTACACATAGACCATTTTGATCCTGTTACCCCAATTTGAACAGTTTTTCATCCTTGCTGCCAAACAATTTTATTTATTTATTTGCATTTTAATAGGCTATAACGCTTCATGTCACTTACCACCCACAGTTCGCTCCTCCCTGGGACTGACTTTTGGTAGACATTTTGCAGCCCATTTCTGAGCACTCTCACTGGCCTTCTCACTCCATGTCTTAGGAAAACAAATGAACAAAAAACAGATTATTTTGGGCCAGTTTGAACATTATTATAAAGTACGGTTTGTCATGATGGGAGAAAATTTTCCCCATAACTTCTTCTCTTCCATTGTAGACAAAATGAACTGATCTCAAATTTTCACTTCATTTTAAGTTATTTTTTAAAAAAATCTGACAGCACTGGCTCGATTTAATTTCAATTTGTTTGAAACAAGCCAGCTACAAATCATAGATAGGCTGTGACATGCAACCCACCTGAGTCTTCAGTGCACTAGTTAATGCCAGGCAGAGTGCCTGATTGCTAAAGGACCTTCCAAGGGACAGTCCTCTCTCCCCTCCCAACAAATGGGTGCTTTGTTGATGTCAGCTGGAGAGCCCATGAACATGATAGTTGGGTGTCAGGGCTGCAAGTGGCCAGTACAATGGAAGACTGCCATCCCATGTTCCCAGGCCACCTGAGCTCAGGGAACATGGGAAGGACAGTGAAAATAGTTGTGGCAGTCTTCATTTTCCCTAACTCAGGAGAAAGAGCAAATCCTGGTGCAGGATTTGTCTTATAAAATCCAGATTATCTGCTTTAAACTGGATTTCATGGTAGTGTATCATAGAATCATAGAGTTGGAAGAGATCTCATGGGCCATCCAGTCCAACCCCTACCAAGAAGCAGGAAAATTGCATTCAAAGCACCTCTGACAGATGGCTATCCAGCCTCTGTTTAAAAGCCTCCAAAGAAGGAGTCTCCACCACCATGTGTAGACTCATGTAATCCAGTTCAAATTAGATAATTTGGATTATCTGTCTAATCCCTTGCAGCTGTGGCTGTGCAGATCCAATCTAAGCTATCTTAACCTGAGGGAAGGCAGCATGAATCAGAGAATCATATGAAATTATCAGACAACTGGCAGCAGGAGGTGGTAGTGCTCCATTTTGCATGGGGAATCTGATACCCCATGTCTCACCTTGCATCGCACACTGGGGGGGGGGGTGAAGCGAGAGTGCATGACTTCCCCCTAATAGATACAGGCAACACAAGAAGCCTCCAGGGTTGCCATAGAAGAAGCATGCCAGTTCCGCCCTCCTTCACCAAAATGTCATCTGATGGGAGCTTGCCAGCTCCCTGGGTGACTGGGGCTAGAACATATACCGCCGATTCTAGTCCCGTATGATGATGTAGTTAGTAGGCTTGTTTGATTAAAAAAATGGTTCAAAACTTGTTTCGGATGTAGCTGGTGGTTCAATTCTAAAGTCAATTCCGATTTTCACAGAAAAAAAATGTTCAAAAATTTTCAAAACTTCTGAGACTTCCGAATCCTTCCTTAATGATTTGAAAGTGTTATTTCCTGTTTCATTGGGTAGTCTTTACTTTGAAAGTAGTTGTTTTACTCCAGAAGCGGGGAGGGGTAGGGGGGAAGCAAAGGAAGGAAATTAATCCACTCTGGTTTTAAACAGCTTCCCAGGCTTGAGCCAAGGCCAGGGACCAGAAACGGGGAAAAGCTGAATCATTTCCGACTCCCTTACTGCTTCGTAACAGAAATAGCGGAAAAGCTTCAGAAGGGCAAAGGGACTTCCGATTTCCTTAAAAACTTCAAAATCGCTTCAAAAAGCAAATCTTTCTGAATTTATTCCGAATTACGAAGTTTCTGACCGAACCTAACCATGCCTAGTGGTTAGAATTGGAAGAGACCACAAGGGCCTCCAGTCCAACCCCCTGTCATGCAGGAACACACAATCAAAGCACCCCCAACAGATGGTTCTACAATGCAGTGAGGGAAATTGCTTTAGCCATGGGTTTTAGGGGATGTGCTGTCCATTGGTGGCTGCTCTTCTCATCTGCAAAACAGAAATGTAACCTTTCTCCCCCTGATAATCCTAATCACTTCCTTAAACATTAAAATAAACAAAGGAACTTCCATGGTCCTTTCCTTCACTAAGCATCTAATATGAATATTGCCCGTTATTTAAACATTTCCTTTTCCTGAGAAGGCAACATTTTGCAAAATTTCCCACTCATGTATTCTTTTGCCTTGCCACAAAAGCATAAATTAGTTCGAAGTAGATATCTTACTTGCTGAATAAACATAACACAAAAAGGATTTAATTGCAAAGTGTTTTTTTTAATTTGCACATAACTGGTGATTTGGTACTCTGAAAACACTGAAAGCAGGTTCAAATATCTGAACTCTCAAAGTTACGCTGATTTTTTTTTTAAATTAGAGGTATGTATGAAGACAGTGAGAGTGAGAGGAATCATATCCTTACAGATTCAGCAATGACAACATGCTTTGAGCTTTCTCAAAATGCATTCAAAATTATTTGTTTGATAAGAAAAGGAACAGATAAGGAAACCTCCTCTTCAGGCAAGATGAGCTCATCACTGCAGGGGCCATTTTAAGAGTTTTGGCTTTGTTTTTGCTTGGGGGTGGATGTTTGCATTCAGTGCCACAATGCAACATTTCAGCCATAAACAACAATGTCATTGAATTGTTATCTTACCATTTTCATCATATTGCTGGCAGTTGGCTGAACATTTCTTCTGATGGTATTGTGTTTATCAAGAATTTCCTTCTGTTTTGTTGCAGAAATCTTACTCAATTTACCCTAAAGTTTTTTAAAAATATATATATTGTTATATTTCATTGATTACAAACATTCCACTTCTCTCATCTTCCATTTTATTATGGGCTTAAGGAGCCAAACACATTTTCTGTTTGGTGAGTACTGGATGCCAACTTTTGATAAAAGGTAAAGGTTTTCCCTTGACATTAAGTCTAGTTGTGTCCGAATCTGGGGGTTGGTGCTCATCTCAATTGCTAAGCCAAAGAGCCAGCATTGTCTGCGGCCAGCATAGCTGCATGGAGCTCCATTACCCTCCCGCAGAAGTGGAACCTATTGATCTACTCACATTTATGTGTTTTCCAACTGCTAGGTTGGCAGAAGCTGGGGCTAACAGTGGGAGCTCACCCCATTCCCCAGACTTGAACCACTGACCTTTTGGTCAGCAAGTTCAACAGCTCAGTGGTTTAACCAGCTGCGCCACCAGGGACTTTTGATATTGCCTGCAATTATCAGTTATCTAATCCGACTGGAAATCAATTATTTTAGGTTAATTCCTTCACATCCACATCCACAGTCCAGTATCAGATACTATTTCCGAGACAAATAGAACCCTCTATAGAATTTCCTATGTCAAAGTGAGAACTTCATAGCATCTATCATTCTCAGAAATGATTCCCTGCCACAGTTTTTTTTCTTTAAACTTATTTTGGCTTTTATCTCCAGCAATGGCACCAGAGTTTCTTTTTGTGATTGGCTTGTTTCCATTTTGGTTGTCTTTTACAACAGGTGAAGAGAAATCTTAACTAAATAAAATAGAAATGGACAAAAGTGGCCAATAAAAGGGGTTTAATTCAGTTACTCTTTCTACAGAGAAGCAGGAGGGGGTAAAAAGTAACAATCCATATCTATTAGTTGTCTATTAAAACTTTGTAATGAACCTACAGTGTACCTTGAGTTTTTAACACCATGTATCCAGAAAAAAGAAAACACAACAAAATCCCCTCCAGATCTACACACACAACTATAAAAACTGGCTACAAGTGGACTTAGAAGTTATTTTTGATTCCTATTTGTCCACATAGTAGGTGGGACAAATTTCCTGGAAGGATGTGAAAAAAATGGCCCTTTGGCCTTTCAAAGTGGCTCTAAATGAAATATACCAGTGTCATACTAATAATTTATTACTTATTTATTAACAGCATTTACATTCTGCACTTCTCCCCCGAAAGGGAACTTAGGGCGGATCACAGAACACATACACGGCAAACTTTCAATGCCATTAAACAGACAGGACAGATAACAAATAGAGATATTATGTTGGCATTTTTCCCAACTTTGGCATCTTGGAGGTTGTGCTCTATTCTGGCCAGAGGGGGTGCTGTTGCTCCATCCTCTATGATGAATAGCCCTTGATCACAGGGCTATTCATCATCTTTCTTTTATTACTGAAAGATTACAGACTTCCTTTCTTTTATTATTCATTTTCTGGTTTTTTTTTATAGGTGCCGTAAAATACCTCCCCATTTAAGCAGTGCCTAATTTCTCTACTCATTGATCACAGCTGTTTTCAAACTGCTTAGGTGGACAGTAAGCTGGGCTGAAGGTCAGGTGCTCACCCAGACCCAGGCTTCGAACTGCCAACTTTTCTATTGGTAAGATCTATTACTGCTGGTGATTAACCAGCTGTGCTAATGCCCGACCCTATAATAATTGAAATTTAATTGAGGGAAGCAGAGAAGTGGCTGCAACAATTGCCAAGTCATTGTCCCATCAACACAGCCCTTTTGTGTTAGCAGTGAACAGCAGCAATCCTACCTGCCAACACCATAGTTTAAGCATATAGGGTCAATAATGGCTGCAGTACGGCAAAAGCAGACCTACAAGGTAGATATGCAATCCCAGCAAATGCAACAGGAAGAAGTGGTACCAGCAACTTTCTCACTATATAGTCATGTTTCCCTGTAAACTGATTAAGATAACTGCCTCATCAAAGTCAATAGTATGAATACAAATATTTACAAAGATATTTTACTCTATGTAAATATAGGTCCTGATCAAACCATGTTTGGCCAACATTTTAAAAAAAAAGTCTTAAAGCACATACCTGTTCCAGAGATTGCTGCACCATAACCACCAAGGACAGAATGAAAACTGATACATGCATTTCTACAAAAACAAAAAACATCATCACGTGCAGTCAGAATCTTTACTTCGATTTCTTATGTTTACTTCTACTCATTATAATCCCATAGTAAATCCATTATAAGAACTCTTAGGCTGGATCTGTAGAGTATTTTTTGCTTTGTGAAGTGGTTTTCTTGCTTTCACATTGTAGTGAACTTGCACCTCTTCATGGCTCACTATCACGGCCTGAATATGATTAAACTTTGATGAAACCATTATTCTAACCTTCTTCAATGTAAATGTACTTGTGTATCCTTCCAATAATAATAAAGAGAGTAACATAATAACTGTAATAATAATAATAATAATAATAATAATAATAATAATAATAATAATAATAATAATGGGTATGGCTCACTAATGGAACCCTGAAGAAGGAGATAGAAAGCCTGATTCTTGCAGCCCAGGAGCAAACCATCAGAACAAATGCAATTAAGGGCAGGAAAAAAATCAGCTGATGACCCAAAATGCAGACTATGCAAGGAAGCTGATGAAACCATGGATTATATCCTCAGCTGCTGCAAGAAAATCGCAGAGACAAACTACAAACAGAGGTGCAACTCTGTGGCCCAAATGACTCATAGGAATTTATGTCGTAAGTACCACCTGCCAGTAGTAAAGAACTGGTGGGATCATAAACCTTCAACGGTGGTGGAATATGAACACGCAAAAAATACGGTGGGACTTTCAAATCCAGACTGACAAAGTTTTGGAACACAATACACAAGACATCGCGATCGTGGAAAAGAAAAAAGTTTGGATTATTGATGTTGCCATACCAGGTGACAGTCGCATTGAGGAAAAACAACAGGAAAATCTCAGCTGTTATCAAGACCTCAAAATCAAACTGCAAAGGTTCTGGCATAAACCAGTACAGGTGGTCCCAGTGGTCATTCCTGCACTGGGTGCCGTGCCAAAAGATCTAAGCCGGTTTTTGGAAGCAATAAACATTGACAAAATGACAATCTGTCAACTGCAAAAAGCCACCTTACTTGGATCTGCGCGCATCATTCAAAAATACATCACACAGTCCTAAACACTTGGGAAGTGTTCGACTTGTGATTTTGTGATACAAAATCCAGCATATAGAAATCGTTTGCTGTGACATACTGTGTTTTGTGTCAGTAAAATAATAATAATAATAATAATAATAATAATAATAATAATAATAGAGTAAAATAATGGAAATTTAATAATAACAGCAATAATAGAGTAAAATAATAAATGTAAACATAACAATAAAGTAAAGTAATAAATGTAATAATAATAGAGTAAAATAATAAATGTAATAAAAATAATATCACTTGACTGAAAGGAAGATTTCACCAAGAACCTACACGTACTGAAAAAGAAGCTGGAGATTAAAGTTCTCAGATTACCACAGAAAATGTCATATTTCTTGCAGCTATCTGCATAATCTTTGACCTCTAATAGTATGGCCAACAGTAGATTAATTTTCTAATGTAATTCATGTCTTTATCTACAATAACGATGCATTTATATTGGAATGGGTGATATATATATATATAGAGAGAGAGAGAGAGAGTAGGTATCTATCTATCTATCTATCTATCTATCTATATATATATATATATATATATATATCAGCACTCCATGCAGTCATGCTGGCCACATGACCTTGGAGGTGTCCGCTCTTCGGCTTAGAAATGGGGAAGAGCACCACCCCCCAGAGTCGGACACAACTAGACTTATGTCAAGGGGAAACTTTTACCCTTATGTGTGTGTATCAATTTAAAGATATCTACTTGAAATGTAAGCAAAAATAGTAAAAAAAAACCAAACAAAACAAACCACATGCTTTCCTACGTTACCTTTCTTTGTATGCTAAGCCTTTTCTGTTTCTTCTAAAGGACTTCAGTATGAAAGACCTAAGCTGCATCAACATGTGTATATACTGGAACTCTTCCTGTTATGTAAATGAAAACTAGTAAGAACACTACTTGATTTGCAAATGAAGGAGAAGGAAGGGAAAGATGAAGGGTGAATGCATCTAAATCTCCAGAGCCAGATGAACCACATCCAAGGGCATTAAAATAATTAGCAGATGTGATTTCAGAATCAATGGCAACAGTTTTTGAGAATGTCTGGAGAATAGGAGAAATTCCAGCAAACTGGAGGAATGCATATGTCTCCTACCCCTTCCACATAGCGGAAAAAAATCCCACATTATCTGCTTTGAACTGGAATATATGTCAGTGTGGACTCAAAAAACCTACTCCAAAGCAGATATTGTGGGATTTTCTGCCTTGATAATCTGGGTTATATGACTGTGTGGTAGGACCCTCCATCTTTAGAAAGGAGAGAAAAAGAGGACCCGAACAATGATCACCCAGTCAGTCTGACATTAAAACCAGGAAAAATGTTTACTGTGGATGATTAAACAGACAATCTGTAAGCTCTTTTACGCTGTCATGTAAAGTAGTGTTTGAATCACATTAGCCAAGTCCATCCATATAACACACAGGTTAGTGAGATTGAACCTGGGGTAAGTCACTTAATGCAGCTTGAACTCGGGTTTAAAAAACACTGAGAAAACTGTGAACCCTACAACAAGATTCAGACCTTTCCCAGGATTGGGGCAGTTTGATTTGCCATTCTAGATCTCCATGTTGGATCCAGGATCATGTCCCATAGCTAGCCCATCCTTCCCAGGCTCAGGCAGTTGAGGAAGGTGGGATAGCAGTGCCTTCCTGATCCCAGCATCTCTGCCCCCCAAAAAATGTCAGAAGCCACCTCCCCTTTACTGGTGATTCCTGTTCTTTAATTTCTTATTCTTCCTCATTCAGGGAACAAAGCAGTTGGAGGAGGGGACTCTTCCTAAGCTCCTTTGCTTCTTGAATTATGTATAACCAGGAAATAAAGAGGGGACAGCTCTGGTAAGGAGTGAGGATTTTATGTCATGGGGTGGGAATGGGAGCAGGGAAGGTGGGGTTACGATTGGGCAATAAAAATGAAATGTAGAGATACGGGATGAGCGACACCTGGATTGAAAACAGTCCATGTGGAAGGGATCTAGGAGTCTTAGCAGACCACAAGATGGACATGAGTCAATAGTGCAGCAGCTTTAAAAAGTCAATGCAATTCTAGGAGAGTTTAGATTGAGGAAAGTAATAATTTCACTCTATTCTGCTTTGGTTAAACTTCATCTGGAGTACCGTGTCCAATTCTGGGCACCACAATTCTAGAAGGATATCATCAAACTGGAATGCGACCAGAGAACAAAGATTTGGAAGCCAAGTCCTACTAGGAGAAAAGAAGGCTAGGGGTGGTGGGAACAAGATTGCCATGTTTAAGTACTTGAAAAAATGTCACACTGAGGAAGAGGCAAGCTTGTTTCCTGCTGTTTTTGATACGAGGACATGGAGCAATGGATTCAAATGGCAGGAAATGAGATTCCACCTCAACATTAGGAAGAACTTCCTTACATAAGAACTGTTTGACAGTGGAATATGCTGCTTCGGAGTGTGATGGAGGCTCTTTCTCTGGAGGTTTTGAGCATAGACTGGATGGCTATTTGCCAGGAGAAAAGATGGTGCTTTTTCCGGCATGGCAGGGGTTGGACTGAATGACCCGTGCAGTCTCTTTCAGCTATACGATTCTGGTTTTTTTTCCCTTCCAGAACAGAAAATTATCATTTTATTCCTTACTTCACAGTTTAATAAAATATCAATTGTATTCACCAACCAAAGATTTCTAGAAGGAACAGAATGTGATAAGTGAATAATGCCTTATAGCAGAACTCCCCAAACCTTTCATGTTGGTGACAAACGTTTTAGACATGCATCATTTCTTGACACAGTAATTTAGTTTTATTAGCAAACCGGAGATTAAACTAACCTCTTATAAAACATATTGTGATAGCAAAATCTATGAGGACACAATGTCTCTCGTGAAAGCTTTTCAGCTATATTTTTAAAAAAATACATCATTTGTAAGATAACAACATAATGTTTCCAGGATATATGTTATTTATGAGCAACAGTATGTAAATATGTGCAAAAATTAAGAAAAATTGTATGACACTAATATAATTACTACTTACTATTTCAATAAGATGTATGGAGTTGATGGGATGAACATTTGGTGGAATATTAGATAAAGACACTCGCATTTCATCTTCAAGCATTTTCAGTGTTTTAAGATTGTCATAACTGAAAAAGATATTTCACAAGTGTATGCAATAGAAAATCACAGACAAAGTTTATTTATTACATGTTTGGATGCATTGTGTGAGTCTAAAAGCTATCTAAGTCATCTTGTTCATACATCATTAAAAGACTTTGATCCTTTTTTATTTCGCCTAATTCTTCAGTGAGTGAAAAGTTCCTCATTACAGTTGAAAGATAATGGATTTCTGATCCAACCGTAGTCTTAGATTTCAGCAATTGGAAAGTAATGAACTTTCCCTCCAAGCAACGTTAAATGGTCAACAATTAGATAGATGATACCATATTTTAGCTCACTTTTAGCAATTTTAGAAAACATTTCAAAGTTTCCTTTTTTCACTTTCCTTTTCCAAATTGTTATTTTGTCTCTCATAGCACCACTGTTCAGATATTTTCTCCTTTTTCTTGCATACTGATATTTATTTATTCCAATGTTCAGCTATGTCAGCCAGATCTGCCAATTTTGTTCACCAAAGTGTGTTTAGAATTAGATCACTGAATTCATTTTGCTGATATTCCTCAAAAAGTTTAAGTGTAAGTTCCTTCAATTTATATATATGACAAAGCAATCAACCTCTTGAGAACCAATAAATTTATATGTGTACTAGAAAACCTTTGACCTTGCCCCCATTTCCTCATAAATATAAGCAAATAATTTTGATTTCAGAAATCTACTTTTAATGTAATTGACCTTTTTTCATAGCTTTTCTTAATATATTTTGCAATGTTTTCATGACTAGTGATTTGCAATATAAAAAGTAATGCATCATTATAATATTTTCATTGTCTTTCT